GAGGGGGACACAGGTACCTCTGGCTCCTCTGTGGGCAGAAAGAGCAAAAAAAGCAAAAGCCCACCGAGGGTACGGGGTACAGGTACCCGTGGAATCTGGTACAGGTTCCGTGAAACTGCCCTGGTACGAGGGGCTTGATAACCACCGCCTGTAGCCACCGACCGCCCCCGTGGTCCTGTGCAGGACCCGGTGACCGCGGCAGCTGTTCAGGAAAAGTTTAGGAAAACGCACAAATTTCCCCTCTCATTACTGAAACTGAGCTTTTGGTTGTGTGGCATCAAGGACGTCTCGTGGTTTTTTGTCTGGTATCGTTTAAGAATTGCTGGATTTGATCCAAGATTCCAAAATTGATTTATATGTTAATTAAAATCGGGCCAAGAGTTTACTTTTACAGTTTCTTCCAGCCACTTGGCCTTTGCAGTCTGATTTCTTTAGTATTAGTCGTTTGAGGTTTACCTTTTCATTTCTGATACTCTTCATAGCTCTTCTTTCTTGCTGTCTTTCACATTCTTTTATCTTTCACCTTTTCTCTATACAAACAACTCCTATTTCCTTTTTAAGCCTTTTTTTTTTTCATGTCTTCTTTCCTGAATATCTTGAGTTGCCATCTCTGTAATAAATGCCAGATGTTGGCTGTTCCGTCCACTAAAAGATTTTGTTTGGTTTTTTTTTTTTTTTTTAAATGTTAACTATTTCAGTTTGAATGCTGCTAAAAAAGCAAGGGGATAATTTCTGTTGTGTCTAAATGAAAACACTTGTGGAGAGATCTGGTGAAGTTTGTACAACCTTCCTTGTGGTGCTTGAATATGTTCTGTGTAAATAGTTGTATCAGAAGCTTCAGATCCTCTCACCTGAAAATAAAAGTACCTCAGCTGCCACTTCTCCATATACTTTTGTAACACCTCTGTCTGTTTATAATTGTACAGGCAATGGAACCACGTACAAAGATTTGTGAAATGTGCCTCAACGATAGGTATGAAATGTAACTTCTTTAGCTACTAGGTTTAATTGCTTCTGTAGTGTGCATGGTTTAACAATTAGTTATAGAACATTAGTTTTCTAAGTAAATACACAATATTTGTATAATTTCTTACAGTAGTCTGTAACTTAGAGAAATAATCTTTAATGTGTAAAAAACATTTTGAATAATTTTACCACTTCTTTTGGGAGGGAACGACAGGTATTAGTTGTTTCCTAGTTGGTCCAGAAAGGACACAGTAAAAATATAAGCATCAACTTTCAGGTTTAAGTGTTGGGTTAGGGTTAGAATATATTTCTTGGATTCTAAAAAGAAAAATACTTAAATTAAATGTATTTCTGCATAAGGACTCTAAGGGAAAAATTCAAAGACTACCATGGAAATGCTTTGGATGAAGTGTGTGGTTTTTTGTTATTGGAATAAATGTATAAACACTAAAAATGATGAAAAAATCTGAATTTTAGATTTGCTTTATTTCCAGGAATGTTTTGAAGAATATATTTCTTCTAAAATTTTCTTACTGTGCTTCATCCTTTTAAACAGGAGGTCACCACATAGGGAAGATTCTTATCGCAAACCGAGGAGAAATTGCATGCAGAGTGATGCGAACAGCAAAGAAAATGGGTGTGAAGTCTGTAGCGGTTTATAGTGAAGCAGACAAAAATGCCATGCATGTAGCAATGGTGAAGTATATTCATTAAGTTTGTGATTAACTTTGATTCACAATGGTATTTCTCATCAGTAAGTTCAGTGTGAAAGTAGATGTGTGTGCTGATGCAGTTGATTTTCACCTCTGTAGTGTTACTTCCAAGTTTTCTTTGAAGCAGTGAAAAGTTTTCCTCATCTCTGTCTCAGCACCTGACAGCAGGAAGTGCCTTAAAGTTGGGTGCTCAAACTTCAGAGTAGCCACTGGGCATTAGAGTGTGGACTCTGATTTTGGGAAGTCAGAATTTGTTTCACCCAGTTGAGTGTCTCTGTGAATAGAGGCAGTGATTTAAATGATTGCATACTAGCAGTCCAATAAACAATCTAATTAACTCAGAAATTCAGTTAAATTTGCTTTTTATTATCCACAGTCTGTGTTACATGTATGTTTTCTATAACAGGCAGATGAAGCATATTGCATTGGTCCAGCACCTTCACAGCAGAGTTACTTGGCCATGGAGAAAATAGTGCAGGTGGCCAAGGTCTCAGCAGCACAGGTAAGTAGATCATGACCTTAAACCTTCCGTTACTTCCGTGCTCTTTAGTTCTTTATTTTTACCCATGGTGTTTCCATCTTGTGTTTCCTCAGTACTCTACTGAACTTTCAGGGTTTTCTAAGCTAAACTGATATAAAATAGGCTGGTAACGTTATTCTATTTTAGGCTATTCATCCAGGTTATGGTTTCCTCTCAGAAAACACAGAGTTTGCAGAGTTGTGCAAGCAAGCGGGAATCATCTTCATAGGTCCGCCTTCATCAGCTATCAGAGATATGGGTATAAAGAGGTATCTATTTCTGATTTGTTACTTGGTTATGAAATTTGGCAAAGCTAATTTTGTTAAGAAATGACCAGTTGTTCCATAATTGCGTTATTTTGTCAGTTTTCATTATCTTTTATTTTTATGGCTTTCTGGAAAGGAACAAGCTCCAGGTTTATAGTTGTGGGATTCCTGTAGACATGGAAACAATCAAGATTGTTCAGTTATTAGGGTTTTGGTAATTAAATACCGAACTGATTCTAATTTTCTGGAATTCGGGCATTGCAGTGTTAAATAGTTAAGGGTTCAGCAATCAGGCTGGATGTCTTGTGTATTGGTCAAAAGAACAGTGGAAAAGAAACACCATATTGTCAAGGGTTATTGTGGCTCATGTAAAATGGGGTGATGTTTTGTTCATCACAGAGGATCTTATTGTTAGTTACTTAGATCAAAGAAATGTTTCCAGGGTATGAAGTATAAATCAAGAGTATGGAAATAAGATTATTACTAACACATGAACTGTGTAATACTAATTTCAGAGAATGAATTTTTTATCACTTCCTAATGTGAGCGTGAATTACCTCTGTAATTTAACTAGTTTGGCATGCATATTTGAAGTCATTATAGTTGTTACACTCAAGTGTTTTATGAGTGATATGAATCTAGCCTGTATGACAAAAGGAGTTTTGCCTTTGTATAACTTTAGGTATAGTTTTGGCAGGACACAGCATTGTAATCTGAAAATGTTAGGTTTTGGCCTGTGTAATGTGGGTCAAAAGATAGGAAAGAACAGTAAGCCTGAAACTGGCTATCGCTTTAATGTGGAGGGCTTGGAGATTAAAAATCCCTGTTTGATTAATTACAGTGCAATCATATGTAACCCACTTACGTAAGTAGTTCTGTTAAGGTCAGTGGAACTACTTTTGTGAGGAGAATTAACGTTGGGAACATATACAGGTTTGGAGCTTAAAGTAAGAAAAAACCATTATTACCATTCTAAACATAAAACTGTTCTGTCAAAGCACTTCCAAAGCTATAATGTCTGCTGCTGGCGTTCCTGTTGTTGAAGGTTATCATGGAGAAGATCAATCAGATGAGTGTCTAAAAGAACATGCCAAGAGAATAGGATATCCAGTAATGATTAAAGCTGTTCGTGGAGGTGGAGGAAAGGTAAAGGAGCTACTCTGTTCGTCACATGGTGTAAAGTTGTTGTGTTTCGGAATCTGTAACTGAATATTCTAAAAGAAATCTGAAAAACTACCTTTTGTTAGAGTTTATTATTAATGTCCAGTCTAGCACTATGAAATATCTTTTCCTATTGTTGTGCGGTCAGGCAGAAGATAAGCCAGCCGTGTGCGCTCGCAGCCCAGAGAGGCAATCGTGTCCTGGGCTGCATCGAGAGCAGTGTGGCCAGCAGGTCAAGGGAGGGGATTCTCCCCCTCTTCTCCACTCTGGTGAGACCCCACCTGCAGTGCTGCGTCCAGCTGTGGGGTCCCCAGTGTAAGAAAGACACGGACCTGCTCCAGCGGGTCCAGAGGAAGCATGAAGGTGATCAGGAGGCTGGAGCACCTCCCCTGTGAGGACAGGCTGAGAGAGCTGGGGTTGTTCAGCCTGGAGAAGAGAAGGCTCTGGGGAGACCTTACAGTGGCCTTCCAGCGCTGAAAGGGGCCTACAGGAGAGGTGGGGAGGGACTCTTGATCAGGGAGGGTAGGGGTAGGTCGAGGGGTAACGGTTTCAAACTGAAAGAGGGGAGATTGAGGTCAGATATTAGGAAGAAGTTCTTCACCCTGAGGGTGGTGAGGCACGGTCACAGGTTGCCTAAGGAAGCTGTGGCTGCTCCATCCCTGGCAGTGCTCAAGGCCAGGCTGGATGGAGTTTGTTTGGGGGGGGGGTTCCCTGCCTGTGGCAGGGGGGTTGGAACCAGGTGATCTTTGAGGTACCTTCCAACCTAAACTGTTCTATGATTCATTTTATGATTCTGTAAGTAGCTGGTATAAATTGGAAGAGGTTTGTTTATTTCAATGGATCTCTAGTCATTCACATAAGCAGGAAGGTTGTCCTATGGATTTGTTTGTGTGAAATGAGATTACTTTAAATTGTTTCTTTGTGATGGATTCTGTGACTTTTTTGTTAACAGTTTTAAATGTTGCATAAGAAGTGATTAGAAATACCATTTAAGTATTTGGTGTCTAGACACTTCTTAATGTATGTCTAAGTCTGAATTTACTCTGAAATAAATTTCTGTAACAATGACATCGTAGAGAGTTCTAATTATTTCCAAAATAGCTGTGTTTGTTATGTAATGAAATCAGTTTTTCTGTGCCAACCTTGGAAATTCTATTCTATTTAAGAATAACATTTAATTTCATACTAATCCATATCAATGGAATGATAACGTCTATTTTTTAACAATTATGGCACTTTCAGTGGGTCTTAGCAGGACTGTCTTATTGGAAGTTGATACACAGTTTTGCTAAAGTTTAAGAAAGAAGGGGAAAGTGTTGCCATGAAGCTCATTTCTTTCTGTTTATGTGCAACAAGGATTTTTATTGTGTACTACATTTTTAGACATTTAGATATGCTTTTTAAATGTATTTTAGGGCATGAGAATTGCTCACTCGGAAAAGGAGTTTCTGGAGCAGCTAGAATCAGCTAGGAGAGAAGCAAAGAAGTCTTTCAATGATGATGCAATGCTGATTGAGAAATTTGTGGATAATCCAAGGTGAGAAATAGATGTTTTAATATGAACACTGTAATGTTTGCTCTACTGTTAAATACACATAACTGTTTTAGTAGTAGGGTGAAAATTGTATGTTTTATTTGCAGTATGGCAGGCGTTAATTCAGTCAAATTTGTTTATAATGTGTAGAATTTTTTTATAGTGACTTTGTTTTGAATTGTAAGAGTTAAAATGCCTCTGTTTGGGAGACAGAGCAGTGATGTTTAATGACATTGATATTCCTCCTTGAGTAAGCTGAGTTATTCCTGAGTCAGGGCTGCTGCCTCTTGTGACTTGCTACACAGTAAATTATGAGGGAAATCATCATTACCAAAGAACAGTGAAGTAGTTTTATTATAATAACTCATAAAGAGGTAGCAACCTATAGGTATGTATCTTGTTTATCCTACGACCGATGAGGTTTCACTTCAGTAGCTGGCATTTAGAATCCTGGTTCACTAAGGAGGTTGATGAAGTCCAAAATAGTTGAACTCCTGCCTAATAGCAGCCTCATTTCTACGTTTTTTGACTATTTAAGGGCAGACGCTTAAACCTTACTGCGTACAAGTTCAAAGTCTGTTTGGGTGAAGTCAGTTGCAGGATTTGGGCTCTACTGAAATACTTTGAAACATTTATTGTTATGGAATAGGCATGTTGAAGTCCAAGTATTTGGTGACCAGCATGGCAATGCAGTGTATTTGTTTGAAAGAGACTGCAGTGTGCAAAGGAGACATCAGAAGATCATTGAAGAGGCACCAGGGGTGAGCAGAAAGTTCTTACGTTTTCTATGAACTGACATATTTTTAAAGTAATTGCTAACCCCCATTATTTATCAGGTAGTAATTTGTTTGTAATTCTCAGTACCTGTTTTAATTTTGCTGCAGAAAATGTTCTACTTGAAAAAATCAGTTTCTTTAGGAAAATGGTTCTCGGGGAAAAATGATGTAGACTTCATTGATAAGGATTTCACTACAGTTGCTAAATACCGCGGAATATTCATGCATAGTGAGCTTGATATCACCAAAATTTACCATCATTTGTTATTATTTACAGCCAGGAATTAATCCTGAAGTTCGAAAGAGACTTGGAGAAGCTGCTGTCAAGGCAGCTAAAGCAGTGAATTATGTGGGAGCAGGTAAGTCTGGGGAGGTATGGCTGCTCCAGAGGTATGCATTTAACTTAATAAGACTTTTAAGTCTCCAGGCAAATGGCATCTGATTGTTTTAGAGTCCATGCCCAATTTTTTTGAAGGTGTAAGCAAGTCATCACATAATTAATTCTGATGTAATTACAAATTTAAATTAGCATACCTTGTCTGAGCAGCTGAAGAACAGAAAGAAAAAAATTTCAGAGCAGATAATTCAATCAACTAGATTGTTGATGGAAAGTGAGTTTGAGCAGAGCAAGGGAAAAATAATTTTTCTTTCAGCATACAGGGAATAATACTTTATATTCAAACAGTAAAGCCTTTAAAAAAGAAATACAACTCACTGTCTGTAAAGTCCACACTGTTTGTGAGTTGAAAAAATAACCTGCTAGAATTATTTTTGACTTTCTTTTCTCACTGCTTTCTTTGGATACTTACTTTTAAAAAGTAGTTACATGCCCTGTGCATTTACACAGTGCTTTAATGAGTCTTGGTGCACTTTTTACAGCTATAACGAAATGCAGCTCTTACTGTAGAGGAGAATGGCGACTGAACAGCACAGGATATGTACGTGTGCAAGGAAACCACCCTTCTGTGCTTTCAGACATCAGCTGTGTTCTGTGTATCTGACGTAGAAATAATTGTCTTGTCCTGACATAAATGAATCGAGGGTCTTAGGTGTCCTTTCTGAAAAAGTCTTGTTTTGGTGAAGTGCCTTTTTATTAAATACTTCAGGAACAGTGGAATTTATTATGGACTCCCAACATAATTTTTACTTCATGGAGATGAATACCAGACTGCAAGTAGAGCACCCAGTTACAGAGATGATCACTGGAACAGACTTGGTGGAATGGCAACTTCGGGTAAGTGTTAACTGATTTTACGTGTAGAGTTCCTCTTGTCTGGTGAATAGTGCTCTTTGATATTGCCTATGAGAGACCGGATAGGTTTTCAGATCCTCATCCTCCATTCAGCTAGTAGGCTAGAGTTTCCTTTGCTCCAAAGGAAGGTCTTGTATTACTGTATTTGATTGTAGAGCATTGTGTAGATGCTCTGAATTCCAACAAAGTCTTCTTCCAGTTGTGTAGAGAAGAAACATTTTTTAAAATGTATTTAGAGACATTATAGAGAATGTGGAAAATGGGACAAGTAGGGTCCTGATCTTGCCATGCTGAAAATTTTTTAAAACTCTAGTTCAAATGTATCATTGGCCCAAAAGTCGTTCTTGGATCAGGCCGTAGGAGGAAAACTCCTCACAAAAACATGTATCTGGTGTTACACCAATATAGTCGCATTCTAGAATAAGTGTGTAGTTGTGTGGACTGGAAATGGGGTATTTCCTCACACACCCAATTTGCAGAGGGATTACTCACACGTTTGAATGATAACAGGAAGGTTTGGACCTTAGGGACCTGGAAATGAAAAACAATTTTCGTTAGATATATCCAAAAGTGAACACAGTGGCACACATTGAGCTTAAGTGGATAGGGTTGGGGGAGTGGTTAGTGTAACCAGAAAGAAAACTGGAATGGCAAACACTGATGCAAAAAGGAGCAACTTTTGGCTTCCTGATCTAGGAATGGAAATTGAGCATTGAGTGCTAAGTTGGAGCAGGGATCAAACAATACTGGAAGAAAGAGAAAGAGATAAGGTGGAGAGGTTCAGTGGTCTTAGCATGTGACTTAATGAGTCCATAGATAAAAAAATGTCTATCTGTTCTTAGATTATTTTTGTGGATCTGTATAGTACTACTCTTTCTTTGAAGACTGAGTTATATTGTGCTGTCTCTGCTGAAATCCATAGTGTGGTGGCAGAAGGCAGAGTATGGAAACCCCCTGACACTTCAAAAGAAGATGAAATGTTGCTACAGATTTTTTAATAGGAGTTTGTATTTTTCCATGTAGATAGAAATTGTGTAGCTTCCTGGTAAAGGGTCTCCTCTGTGCTTAACTGCAGCAGGTTTCTTGTTATTATTTTGTCCCTGAAAGTCCCGTTTTTTCAGTCTCAGACTAGTGTGTTGCTGGTGTTTGTTGGTGTTCCTGTATTTGTAATGTGAATTCCTTCAAGTGATAAAATGATGTTTCCTTCCCCGTTAAAGGTTCTTAAATTGTTAGAAACCCCCTTAGAGAAATATTCCCTTAGTGTACAGCTCCCCCAGTATACAGAAGAATCAACAGCGTATGCCAGTAGTGCTGGCTGCCAGTAATCCATTTTATCATCTGCTTTTGAAGCATTTTTTCTCTAATAAAATCTTGTCTTAGTTGACCAGGCTTTAACTTAAACATGTAATTATTTTTTGACGTAACACGTTGAAAAAAATCAGACTGTTTTTCCATTACGTTTTAGCTGTGTGAAATAGTAGGAGATCAGTTTACAGCATAATAATTCAAAATTCTTTGACTGGTGACTCGCAGAGAAAAAGAAAGTAGTAACTTCAGAACTAGCCTTTTATGACCTACCACTTTTTTTCCTCCTTGTGCATTTTTTAATGTGCTCTCTAGTTGTTCATGTTTAGAAGAAAGATTTTAATCTTTCATACATTGGCAATCCAGAATATTGATCCCTCATTAAAGAAAAAAACTACTGCTTTCAGGTTGCAGCAGGAGAGAAGATTCCCCTAATGCAGGAAGAGATTCTACTCCGGGGCCATGCGTTTGAAGCTAGAATATACGCAGAAGACCCTAATAATAACTTTATGCCAGGGGCTGGGCCATTGTTGCACTTATCCACCCCACCGCCTGATAGGTTCACCAGGATAGAAACTGGAGTCAGACAAGGTAAAACCAAAGGCAGTGGTGTAATCAGAAATATTTAACATCAAAAGCTTTTCTATATAAGCATTTCCCTCTTTGGCCTAAATACGTTTGTCTGACAGGGTGTTGTTAAGTCAAATCTCTGCGGAATTATTCTTCCTTGAGATTGTCCATGTACTTTTGATCAATCGCTGAATATTTCGATTACCTCTTTGTTTACCTGTATCCAAATTATTGTCCATTGGATCATGCTGATTATGTTCTCATCACGATTTATCAACCCTGCATTCTGATTGCAACAAAGAAAACTGAATTTGGGTAATGTTACCTCTACAAAAGTCTGTACCAAAGTTGCCCTTGGAATTGAAATGCCAGGTCACATCATTAAAGATTAATGTTTGTTAAGGACATAGAGAAACGTGGCCATCAGTTATGTCAGAGTTTAATGCCGTATAGTGTGCAGTACTATGCATTTTTCTGTGTTTTTCAGAAATACTTGATTTAGTGTTACAGCATTTTTTTTAATATTTTAGGTGATGAGGTTTCTGTTCATTATGATCCAATGATTGCAAAGCTAGTTGTTTGGGCTGAGGATCGTCAAGCAGCACTGAGAAAGTTGCGGTACAGTTTGCATCAATATAATGTAAGTAGAAGGAACCCGATAGGATTTCAGATCAGATCTTGAGATAGCTTTGGGAACAACTTGAGCTAACAAAATGTGGATCAAATACTACTGTAAACCAGAAGTGGTTTCTAAGAGGGAGCCTGCATTGCCACTCACTACCATTTCAGATTCATTATTTGTTTGCAGAAGCTGTATTTTTTTTTTTTTTCCTGAATTCCAAACTGCTTTTGTTGGTGGAGTGAGTAGAGATAAATGTGAAGACCAGTTTTACAGACAGATTTTTCTCAAGTTTACGATATCTTCAGTTGGATGATGCAGCTGGGACGTTGTAGAATAATAGGGCTAAACAACAACATTTTCAATTGTAGTGTGAGCTTTCTTAAACTTAAAGGAATTTGTAGGTGGAATTTGTGTCATATGATGTTTGCTTGTAATGCCTAATTTATAAAAACAAATTTTTAGACTACATATGTGGTAAAGAAATATGGAGAATTTTTAATGCTGTCAGTTCTTTTTAAGAAGTGATCCCTTTTTCCCCTATAAAAACTACAGGTATTGTATCTATTTTCAAAAGCGGAGTTCAGAAGCTTGGCTTAAGGTGAGACTGAATATTATTTGTGCAGAATTAGTTTACACTTTTAAATCAACAACATAAACATGATTGAGGTACTGAAAATGTTTGGCCTGTTGTTTTAGCTAAAAATTAAGATTTCTGCCAGTGAAAGAGATCAAAGAATTCCCTTGGGTTTTCCCAGAATTTTCTTAGTTGTTCTGTCAATAAAGGTTGTCAGTGCAATATAGTTACCAGTTTCACTGATTTCTCTGAAATAATTCTTTCTGTTTTCATGTTGTCTGCTTAAGTATTTTGCAGTACAGGAAATGGGTGGTATGTAGTGAATTTATAAAAGTCACTGTGACCATTTGTTACTGTTAGAAGGTGAAATACGGAATATCTGAACCTATTGTAACTCATTTTTAATAAGAGGCGCTTTTCGTATTAGGAATGTTCTTTAAAATACTCCGAGCATGATTTTCTGTAACAGTAGGTTTTTTTCCTAAGTTACCTCCCATTACTGTTGCTGGGAAACTTTCCTGACTTCACAGTGGACAACAAAGGTAGTGTTTTGAAAACAAGAGTGGTTTGGAGAAAGCTACTCTTGTTTTGGTTTGGTTTTCTGTCTTTTCTAAAGCAGTGGTTTCATTGGTAATAAAACAGATCAGTTGAATTAAATTAAATTTTACTGATAAACTTTCTTCTGGTGGTGCTGCCTGAAGAAACATTGATCTATCATCTGTGCGTAAGTTGAGCAGAAAGCTGTATATTCGTTCATAACTTTGTTTCAGTTTGGCAATATGCTTCTTTTTCTTTACAGATTGTAGGATTAAGCACTAATATTGATTTCTTACTGAGTCTGTCGGGACACCCACAGTTTGAGGCTGGAAATGTGCACACTAATTTCATTCCTCAACACCATGATGAACTATTTCCAACCAAAAAGGCAACCCCACATGAAGTTATGTGTCAGGCAGCTCTAGGACTCATACTGAAAGAGAAAATGCTAACAGATGCTTTTAGAGATCAGTCAGATGGTAAGGATCATTCTTCTTTTGTTTTGTTTTACTTGTGACTGGATGAGACAGTGCTGTGAGCTCATGTGCAATTATTTAATTTGCGTGCTTTTTGCCTTACTTTGTGCCTGCCGAGGGTTCTGCATTCTGGCATCTGTCAGATATTTACACACCAAGCAGACTGTAACTTTTGGTAAGGACAGATAATGAATATGTCGCCCTGTAATGTACAGACTACTTCCCACAGCACTTCAGATAGGCATTATCTGAAAGACCTTGGGGTTCATAATCAGTGTCACCGTGTACTCTTTGCTCTTTACAAGCGTGAACAGGGAGTATCTATCACTATTATTCCCACAGTTGGCCCAAGGTCTTCAGAGATAAAATTGGCTCTGCTAGGATTGGGCAAGGCAGGAGGGTTTAATGGAATGAACAGGACTCCAGGAGCTGAACATGCTGAGTTCTGACACTGTTAATGGCTATACCGGTGGGGCATGGGATTGCTGTTAACAAAAACTTCGTATAAATCTAATATATGCTGCCAACAACCTCATTAATTTTCTTTCCTCCTCCACTTCAACTGTCCTGGAAACATGAGAGAGTGGGATTGGAAAGATTCTCATACACTAATCCCTTGCTTCAAGAGATGATGAACTACTTGGGCAATGTCTGGTACCTGTGTATATGATCCAGTCTCAAAAACTCCAAGTAATAGAAAATGCCTCAATCTTCCCAGGCAGTTTGCTGCCGTGTTTGACTACTCTTACAGTTGGAACCTCACCTAAAGGTTAATCTGAATCTGCTATGTTGCATTTGAATCCCAGTGCTTTCTTGTCCTGTTCAAGGGTGTGTTCATGGAGGTCAGTCAATATCCTCCTTCTTAGTAAGTGCTGTTGTTAGTGTCGTGTTTTCTGTAGGTTACACACCATCAGTTTGTTCAGTATTGAAGCTTGAGTGAGGGGTTGCCACTATCTGTTACAGTGGTTCCCCAGTATTTTATGTGTAATATAACTATATGATGGTAGTAATAGTAGGACAGTGATTTTATGGTGTAAGTTTGTGTTTTGCCAAAGTAGAACGAAAGTAACATAGTTGTATGTTTTGTATTTTAGATAAATTCTCGCCATTTGCATCCAGCACTGGTAGAAGAATAAATATACGCTATACTAGAAAACTGTCTCTGCTGGATGGGGAAAACAGTAAGTTCATAAAAAAGGGTGTGTGGAAGGAGAGGAGATACTTGATGGATAAAGTTATTTCAACTGGTGCTTGAAAATTCAGGTTAAGAAATAGCAAATAGAAGCAGTATGAGTTCTACGCAATTTAAGCGGGGAACTCAGAATCGCATGATTAATTCACATTGTTAGATCTTGAGAGAGAAACCAAATTCAAATGACACTACTAATGGTTATCATTTGAATGAATAAGGTTGAGACTTTTAGAAGAGCTGAGGGCCGTTAACTTTTTTTAAATTATTTTTTTATTTAATTTTGGTGTGAAAATATTCAGCACTTCTTCCATCAAAAATCTGTTCTCTGTCAGGTAACTTAGTGTGGATTTCAGAGCATAACTTCAGGTGTTCATCTTTGAAAAACAAACTGTCTAGAATTCGGGATGAAATCTGCAGTATGCACTAAGCTAATATGAAAATACTTGTTCTTTTCTTAGTATTGGTAGCTCTCTTTTTTTTTTTTTTTTTTTTTAAAAAAAAGAATTTTAAAAGATAGACTAAATATTGTTTATATGTCATTATTCTCTAGATCCTATAATTAAATCTACTCACATATACATATTTTGTTTTATTGAACAGTTGTGGATGTAGCTGTAAGTTACAATCAAGAAGGGTCATACAACATGCAGGTACAAGTCCAATTTTTTCAGATATTTCGTTAGATAAAAGAGAAATTGGTTTCCTGTAGATTTCTGTTGGTATTAACTGTTACTGAAGTTGCTTGGTAATTGCCAGTACAGGATTCCATTTTTGGTTTCCTTGCAGCCATTGTTGTAGACGATTATTTTGGCGTGAAAGTATCTTTGCTAGATGCTGGATTGGCGTGGAAGAGCTACTAAAATTCTTCTAAAAATAAGGCTAAGAAAAGCATTTTTTTCCAATATTTAAAGATTTTACTCTTTATTTTTCCCTTCCTTAAATTTGTCTTTCTGAAACACTGAAAGTTAGATTTAAATCTGCATTTAAAAAGACATGTTTTCCACAGGACTCCCGCTTTATTCTGTGCATGAGATGGATCTCCTGTGGGATAAAGAAAAGCTTTCTAGAGCGTTATCTGTCAGATAACACTTTTTTTTTTTTTTGAAGATGGAAATTGGAAAGTGATTACCAAATGAGATGAGGGATAATGAGGATAGTAAGTCTTCTGGTTAAATAATTGAAAGATGCCCCATACAAATGCCTTCTGTCTGCTTTATAGAGATTCTACAGGATACAACTCAAACGTAGATGTTTTTGTATGTGCGTGTGCATGTGTGGTAGTCTCTTAATTGTGGCTGAAGGAGGTTGTGTTTTGCTGAGTGTCAAATATCCTTCTTGCATCACCTGGAGTCGAATGGGTTTCATCTCAAATTTGGCACAGAAGCTGATTGTATGCTCAAGAATGCAGTCTCTCTGTAATTCAGCTTCTTGTTTCCAATATTCAGAAAAGGAGAGTTACAAGAATAAGTCAGTATTTAGGAACTGCTTAGTCTGTATATAGAGGAGTGTACTAGAAAAATAGTGAGAAAATTATTGTGCTTTCATGTGTGTAACCACATGTTGGGTAACTCAAACCCTTATACCCTTATTTCTACTGATACAAATATTGAGATAATCACATCCCTCAAGTAGTATGTAGGTTATTCTGTGTGTATTGATTACATATGTAATGCAGGAGAGCTTTTACGCTTCAGGCTTGTCTCATGCAAGTAATGTCAGCAAAAAAAAAATAAAAAGAGGCTGGAAGGAATGTAGAGTGGGGCCTGTTGGGGAGAGGAAGTGCAACTGGGGAGAATGTAAACTCCCAGGGAAAAAGGAAGAATGGGGATTGAGATGGAAATGGAGAGAAGCTGGAGATAAAGGATGGAGAAACACAATCGGGAGCAGATCATGAGGAGGACAGTGCATCTGGAGTGCTGCAAAACCTGTCCTGAGGCCAATCAACTAGAGCAGGTTGCTGGGCCACGGAACTGGCAAGCGCTCGCAGTGTTGCCCAGGGTGTTCCCCTGCTCAGGATGCTGCTCAAGCAAAGGATTTTTTTTCTTGAGGATCAGTATCAGATCAGCAGTATCCTTTCAATGCATGTTAAAAGGTCTTCATTCAGTGGGAATACAGTGTGCGACTGTGGGCATACAGTGTGTGACTGTGTAAATGAAGACTGAATTTTATCTCTACTCGTAACAGCCCAAAAGACTAGTAAGTCTCTGATTCTTTGCTCACAGATGTTAGACTTGCAACTAAACAGATCAGTTAAACATAATGCACTTATGTTCATATTCTTACTGTCTTTATATTCTGAAGTTGTGGCAGAGTGCAGTTTCCATTCTTGTAGATTAAAGAGTTACCTACAAAGAAATGACCTTTCAGTTTGGTCTTTCTTTTGCAGTTTTGGTGTCTAATTGACACTATCTCCATTATTGCTCTCCTCTGCTCCTGAGTAGGTTTATTGAATATATTGTAGTTTTTGTATTACAGGCTGTCAAGAGTGAGGAAGTTACTTGTCTTTTGGAAAGCACTGTGGAAACTGTGATGTGAGGTGAATAGTATGGATTTTTCAGTTTGAAGAAAGTCAGGATTCTGGGACAAATTAAAAATATTGGATTCCAGTAGCATCACTAACCAGAATATTCTGGTTTTTTTTTGTTTTTCCTGAGAAATAGTATACCTTTGTATTTTGCTGAGCACTATTGCATAGTTTGTGATAAAAAATGTCCTCAGAGAGCATATTGGCTAATCTTCTGAGCTGATTGCATTGGATACAGAATACATTCTGTTAATTGAAAAATAAAGGATACATAAGATTTTAAAAGATTTTTTTTTTTTTTAATTCCAGAATTATCTATGAAGAATCACAGGTTATGAGCGTATACTACAAATTACTAACTTCTGCTTTGTCGTGTTAGATTCATGAAGGATTAGGCTTTGTCCTTATAAAAGCATTTAATTTTCAGATTCAAGATAAAACATTCCTGATTTCTGGAGAGATCTTCAATGAAGGTGATTCAGTTTACTTGAGGTCTTCAGTAAATGGAACAGTGTGTAAGTCCAAATTGGTCATTTTGGACAACACCATTTATCTCTTCTTTCCGGTAAAGTTCCTTTCTTTATTATCACAAGTATAAAATTTCAGAGTTTTGTCCATGGCAGTGAAGAAAAATTGCAGGAGGATATGCAAGAGAATCATAGGATATGAAAGAGAATCATAATTTCAAGTTCTTTCATTGGCCGATAATGTTTTGATACTTGTTGGATGTATAGCTGTAATTAGAAGTGAGTTGCTTATGGTCAGTGAGTGAGAAAATTAATTACTTTTAGAAAGATAAAATACAATTAGGTGAATCAGAGTTGCACGTGATGGTTTGAGGGGGAGAACAAAATATTAAAATGGTCGAGTATCTAAGTTTGTCATAAACAGTAACAATCTTCAAACTGGCAATTATTTGAAAGTGCTTGTAACTGGTAGTTTTATTTCAGTGTATTTAATTTTTAATACTAATTGATAAGGAAGAAGTTGATATTGGTCTGAGGGAGGGTAACTTCAGCTAATATTAAAAAATTGGAATTATGAGTTACCATGGCATTGTCTGCATTGCATGAATAATGGCATTTGAAAGAGGAGGTACCTAAGTTGCGTGATTAGGCTGATAATTTTTTATTTGCAGTTAAAAAGATTACAGAGGGTTAAAGTAACTCAATAAAAATGTGATCTAATAAGCAAATTATTATATATTAGTTTCAATAATTAACCTCTAGCTCTGAGCCCCATTAGACTTTCAGCAAAATGTAGTGAAAACTTTGCTTCTCCAATGATGAGGACAAAATAACTCATGCTGGAATGGCAAAGCTCAGTTTTCCTATGGTATCAGAGTGGAAACTGAGCTGGGGGATCTAGAAGAAATCTCAGGAGTTTTAGGATGTCGGGGAGAACGAGTGTTTGGGAAACTCTGGGTAGCAAGTCTGAGAGGAATTAGAGGATTTTGAATAATGGTGAGAATTTTTACTAAACCTGGCACTGAGTCCATTTTGCTGTAAATGCTCATGTTGACAGTGTGTGGCAGCGAAGATGCCAACGTCTTTCTTACCTGTTGCAGCAATCTGGCTACCCCTTGTGCAAACAGCCTTTGCTCATTTTCCAAAACCATGAATGGGGAAGGTGTAGGTTTGGAGCCTCTCTTTCACAGAGGTCTTTCCCTCCTTGCTGGTCCTTACTAGCAGCAGACGTGGCCTTTTAAGGCATTGGCCAAGTAGTGAGCATGCCGACAGTCCTTTTGCTCTGACCCCAGTAGTCTGCCACCTTAAACAGTGGACTGATTTGACTAAACCTGGATCTGTTCTTTCTCTGTGTGTCAGCATGTCTACTAGTGGTATTATTTTATGTTCTTAACTCATATGTCATCGATTTTATCTCTGTAGGAAGGTAGTGCTCAGATTGGCCTTCCTGTGCCCAAGTACTTATCTGCAATGAGTTCAGTGGGAATGCCAAGTGGTGCTGTAGCACCCATGACAGGCACAGTTGAAAAGGTAATTATAATAATGTGGGTAGGAAATGAATTCTCCAATACATATCCAAGTTCACTCTTCCAGAAATGGTGCTTGCTTCTGTACTGCCAGGAAAAAATCAGGGCCAGAAATGTCAGTGCTGCGTGACTTCTCCCAAGTGAAAAAAGCCCTGTTTACTCTGCGTTTTCAGCAGCCATACAAGAGTTTTTCAGGCTTCTAGTTGTCTTTTTCTAGAGCTCTGGAAGATCTGAATATCTGTCTAATCCTACTGCTTAAACAATTTTTTCTTCATCTTAATTACTTTCTAAGTCAAAGTTCCCTGAAGTGTTACAGGCTGTTTGATCCATTTCAACTAACCAAAAGAGTGAGATGCTAGATGCACTTGCAAAAAAACCAAAACTCAGAAATGCCTTTTTTGTTAAGCTGTGTGTTTTGCTGCTTCTGTTTTTGTTTCTTTTTCTTTAGCTCAGCAAGTCTTGTGTATTTCTCTGTATGGTGACCAAGTTTCAATGGAAAAGAGACTTCCAGGAGAGTTCAGTAGTTAAAGGTTTCTGCTAGCAATGAAAAGGCATGAACCCTTTTAGAGGGTGGAGTGCATTGACATGGATCTCTTACATACTGAGTGAACACTTTAAATCAGAGTTATTGTAGAAAAACTAGATGGCTCCTGCGATCTTCCTTCTGGATTTTGTTTAAACAAACAACTTTAGGGACTGGCTCCAGGAAGAGGTTCTGCATTTTCTCAAAATAGAAGCTCTTAAGCCCAGAAACGGTAGAATAGACATTGTCTCTTCTGGTGTTTCTTCTTTGATACATAAGTGGCTTCCTGGTCATCCTGTTAGCTGTTACTGAACCTCTTTCTATAGCCTCTGACTTCCCTTGAGTATTATCTAGAGAACTCAGATACTCAATTCAGCAATAATAAGGATATTATGAGGCTGCTTTGCAAAACCCACAGTCACTCAGAGTATTGTGCTAGCCAAGATGCAGCTGACCATTTTTAATGGTACAGACATGCATGATTTTTTCCCAATTTTCTCTTGAATTGTAGGTGTTTGTGAAAGCAGGGGATAAGGTTCAGACTGGAGACCCTCTAATGGTTATGATAGCTATGAAAATGGAGGTAAGTGACATATAAAAGGTTTTAATTACTGAGAAAATAAAAATCCGGTCAGAATTTAATCATTTTTGGTTGCATGATTGAAGTGCATTGCAGAGTGTAGCTTGCAGATGTCATTATCACTTCATATGCTGTAAAACAAGTGTTCTGTCTGACTAGATTTTAGAGGATTATATTTGCTGTAATTTTATTAACAAATGATGATTATATAATCCATGGTATTCTGCAGATGTTTTGACATTCATTTGGTTAGCTTTGTCAATCCTGCTTCCCCCCACACCACCTTTTACTTTTCTAGCAGAAAACTGTCTAGGTGTATCTCTTGCTCACTGTTTGTGATATAATGTAATGTCTGCAATTACTTCATGCAGAAATTTAGCTAATGGTGACTTTGTAAATAACCTCAGGATTTTTTTTTTCTTTATAATTTTTTTATTATTATTTACATGAAGTTTTACCAAGAGTACACTAAAGAGTCTTCGTAATTGTCCGTGTGGCGTTCAGTGGACTAGCATTTTGGCCATTATATCTTGTCACTATACTTGACCATGGCTCAGATTGCTTGAACTGTAATTTTTGTAGCCTGAACTGGTTTGTTTTGGCTATTAGTTTATTTTAAACTTCAGTCTGTGGTAGCAGAATTAACATTGTTAAAAAAATTTTCTTTTCCTTTATCATGCTGTTTTTCTAAATTACACTAAAATTACATTAAATACAACAACTGTGCACTAAAAAAAGATTACACCCAAAATTATTTGCAATTGGATGCTAAGTGTTTGTTCCTCTCCAGCTGATATCTCAGATTGACTTTATCCAGGCTGTTGGATTTTTGTTTTTAATTAGCAGTGCTATTGAAATATAAAATGTAAAATTTAAAAAGCAAATTATTTAAATAAATCCTTGCTTAGATGTGAGGATTTTTATATCTGATATTAAATATTTTGATATTAAACTAACCCTATGTAGAAAACTACCAAGAAATAAAACTTCAATGGAAAACTAACCTGATACAATAACAAGTAGATCAGTTTGGGGATTGGTATGTAAACGTGCTATTCCTTTACTGTCACTAGTTGCTCTATGTGTATTTCAGCTGGATTTTCATAGAATCGTAGAATCACAGAACGGTTTGG